ACCAACCTCTTGTAACTTAGCTACAAACCGACCTACGTAGTGTGCAATGAGCACAAGAGGCAACTTGATCTACGCAGTACCATACCACCTATACAACCCATACCTTACCACACCTTGGCAGCTCGGACCCTGCCAGCCAGCTTCCCGGCTTTTCTCTCAACACCTACTTATATCACCAAGACCGGTCCTCTCGCTCGGTTGCCGCAGCCGTCTTGGAACCTCTTGACCTTTGACAACCTTACCTTCAGGAATACCTACCAGCTTGCCAAGGTTTTCTTACTTCAATCTAAGCCAAGAGCACAGAGGGCCGCCTTGCGAAACCTTTTGTCAACAACGGTCCTGACGAGCTTGTCTCTGTCTTAGTGCGCCACTCATCACTACCAGTGACTGGGAAACACCGTTCTTCGCAAACCGGCACTCACACACAACCTAGAGGTTCGGCACTTCGTCAACGATACAACTGCAAACATGGCCAGTCTCATCGCCAAGTGGGTCAGCAAGAAGATTCTTGCTGAAAAGGTCGAAAACAAATTTGGCCGCGAGGTACGTTACCTTCTTACACCTGGGCCCTGTGCTCACCTGCGATACGGTGGATCCACGAACAAAATATACTGACCTCATCGCCAGGACCCTTACTTTGAGAGCGTCCCCGCCACCAGGCTTGATGGTACCCCCAACGGCAAGGTCAAGAAGCGCAGAAAGGCCTTGCCGCCTGGCCTTTCCAAGCAAGATGGCGAGGTTTTGACCAAAGTCAAGAGAAGAGCCTACCGTCTCGATCAGTCGCTTTTCAGCTGCTGTGGTGTGAAATTTGGATGGGGTAGCGTCATCGGTTTAGTTCCTGCGTAAGTGCCTGTCCTCCTCCCCTGCTGCTGCATCGCCCCCACAGTCCCCATTCGGCTTATCGACAAGACAACGACTAACATCATGTTGGCTTTAGTGTTGGTGATGTTCTCGATGCTTTCATGGCCATGATGGTGTTCAGAACCTGCTCTAAGGTCGAAGGTGGACTCCCAAATTCAGTCAAATCCCAGATGATGTTCAACATCATTATCGATTTCGTCATTGGCCTGGTGCCTTTCGTGGGCGACATCGCTGATGCTGCTTTCCGCGCCAACACCAAGAACGCCATCCTTCTCGAGGAGCATCTTCGCGAGAAGGGAAAGAAGAACCTGAAGCGCAGCGGAGCTCCCATTCCAGCCGTCGACCCGAGTGAGGCAGATGAATGGGATCGCTTGCAAGGCGACCGCACTCCGCCCGAATACGTCAGCCGTGAGCCTTCTCGCAATGGACACATGTCAGCAGGCCGCCACGAACGCACACCAACTGCTCCAGCCGCCGCTGCAGTCAGAGAGGAGCGTCCCGGCGGTCGAGGCTGGTTCGGGTTTGGAGGTCGCTCGAGAGTTGATGACGATGTTGAGGCGGCTCGCGATCCCAGAGACAGACCTGCTCGTCAATCGCGTCATTAGACTACCGGCTGCTCGAAAAATACTTTTCAAGAAAAAGAAGAGTCGAATGTCGGAGTTGGCGATGACGACACACGGGGTAACTCGTCGGAATTCGCGGTGGCTGGAAAGCACACTTGGTGTTTGCGTGTAGCCTATGGATGGTCAAAAGATGACGGACACTTGGTCTGCCTGGCTCTGCATGCTTGTTTTATGAAGACTTGGACGAAGAAGATGAACATGACACGAAACCTTTTCTTTTACATACCCACACTGCTTTAGTTAAGCTGTCAGTAGTTTAATACGATTCACTAGAAACATTAAGGCCTTGCAAAGAGTTGACGTGTACGTGACACATCAACTGTTTGGATCTGGATGGGAATCCGAAAATTGGTGTCCGTGCCAACGGTCAAATTGACGATCAGACTGGTGATGGTAATTCCGCAAGTCCGTTTCCAACGCGTCGACCCGCAGCCGAGAGTCATACAGTCAGGATTTGTCGATGCTTAGACGAGATTACATGGCTGATGAGTCTTGGATGGGCCACTTGGGTTCCACTGAAGCTGGAGCTAGGACGTGTTCAGTTTATCAGATCTGATCTGATACCTGACATCGAAGTACCTAGGGGAAGGATGGGGCTTGGAACGCGTCGAGTCGTAACGCCGAGGACGAATCCAGCTCAAAGAAGCGTGTGCAGGGCCGGGAGATGGTGCTTGTAGGCGGAAATGGGATATCTGGAACGTGTGTGGCTCGGCCGAAGCTCTCGAGTCTCCGGACAGAGCTTGCTCTGGTTTCCCGGCCATGACATCGTGTTGCCTGGTTGGCGTGCCGGGGGGTGGAACGCAAGCGGCCACTTCGGCGTCGTAGCTCGACCCAACTTACAAATGATGAGCATGTTGAAGAGGGAAAAAAGGGCCAAAAAAAAGAGGGCTGGGCCTGGCATATTCCCTTTGGGACCACAGTCGGTAGACTTTTCTGCGCCAGGTCTTGGGCACTTTACAGGGTCTGGAAGTGGAAAGGTGAGAAGCGAGACAAGATCCTTCCACTTTGGAACGAAACGCGCCGGCGATGCCCCTGGAAGACGCGCTTTTCAGTGGGGTGGAGGGGAATTGACGGCGCGTGGATTCAGCTTTAAGTGCTCTGGGCAATCAGACCAGCTTCCATAGCCACCTACGAAAAAGGTACGAAGCTCGAGGTACCCAAGTACTCAGGTACTCCGTAGAAAACACGAAAACGCGAGTATCCCTGCCCTGTGCTCAACGCGTCCCACTACCTAGCGCTCGGTGCTGCTTGCCCGCTACATAAACTCTGCCTTTCCAGAGTTCCTCGACCATCAACAGACATCTTCTTCACTCCCAATCACGACAATACCACAGCCAAAGACAGACTCACGACCTCAATTTATTTCTTTCAAAGTCTTGTCTTCCCCTTCTTCCATTCAATTGCCTTCATTCCTCCTCTCCCACCACATTTTACACACTTCCGCCATGTCTATCGAAGTCACTCCGTCCAAGCAGGTAAGTAAACGTCACCACTCGGTTAATCCGAGCTTGACTATGGTCCACGCTCTTTTCATGGTCGCAATCGCTAACAACCACTTCTCCAGGCCGCTGCTGCCCTCGACTCTTTCAAGATGGAGTCTCCCGTCAAGAAGCTCAACTTCAACCCCGCCGACAAGGAGAATCAGCCCCTCACATCCGACGTTGCCACCGCAACCGAGAAAAATGATGTTCAGACAAAGCCCACACAAGAAGTCAAGAACGAGAACAAGATTGTTATCGCTCCCGGCATCAAGGAGCAGGAGAAGGATGAGCCCCTCCTCCAGGAGAACGGCCAGCGCTTCGTCCTATTCCCCATCAAGTACCATGAGGTATGTGAACGCGTCGCAAGACGCGTAAAGTGGTTTGCTCGTTGACCCATGACTAACTCTCCACTTCCAGATCTGGCAAATGTACAAGAAGGCCGAGGCTTCCTTCTGGACCGCCGAGGAGATTGATCTCTCCAAGGATCTCCACGACTGGAACAACAAGATCAACGATGATGAGAAGTACTTTATCTCTCACATTCTTGCCTTCTTCGCCGCATCGGACGGTATCGTCAACGAGAACCTCGTCGAGCGCTTCTCCGGCGAGGTCCAGGTCCCTGAGGCTCGCTGCTTCTACGGCTTCCAGATCATGATGGAGAACATCCACTCCGAGACCTACTCCCTCCTCATCGACACCTACATCAAGGAGCCCGCGCAGCGCACCTACCTCTTCAACGCCATTGACACCAGTACGTGAACACAACCCGCGCCTACATGACCACATCGCTAACTAGCATCACAGTCCCTGCCATTCGCAAGAAGGCTGACTGGGCCCTGAAATGGATCAGCGACGAGAACTCCTCCTTCGCCCAGCGTCTGGTTGCCTTCGCCGCTGTTGAGGGTATCTTCTTCAGCGGCGCTTTTGCCTCCATCTTCTGGCTCAAGAAGCGTGGTCTCATGCCCGGTCTGACCTTCTCCAACGAGCTCATCTCCCGTGACGAGGGCCTGCACACCGACTTTGCCTGCCTCTTGTACTCTCACCTCAAGCACCGCCCCAACAAGCAGGTCATTGAGGACATCATCGTTGATGCCGTCAAGATTGAGCAGGAGTTCCTCACTGAGGCTCTGCCCTGCGCTCTTCTCGGCATGAACTCCAACTTGATGAAGCAGTACATTGAGTTCGTTGCTGACCGCCTCCTGGTCGCTCTTGGCAACGACAAGGTCTACAAGTCTTCCAACCCCTTCGACTTCATGGAGAATATCTCCCTTGGTGGCAAGACCAACTTCTTTGAGAAGCGTGTCGCTGACTACCAGAAGGCTGGTGTGCTCAACAGCACCAAGAAGGCGCAAGAAGAGACCAAGGTTGAGGGAGAGAACGGCGGAGACTTCGCTTTCGATGAGGACTTCTAAATCATCTCAGAGCGTCTGAAGTTTTTGTTGTTTCCTTTTTCCCCATATACCCTTGTACATTGCACACGTATGGTGTTTGCCAGAGCGTCATCTCACACTCCACACTCAAACCCCCTTCCCACACCTGAGCTGAGGTTTAGAGCTGTTTTTCTTTTCGTACATACATGGCGTTGGCGGGGTTCATTTTACAGGGAGTTGGAGGTTCCCAAGGACTGGTTGGATGACTGGAAAATGGGGCATGAATGTCTTTGATGGATAATGTACCGCAGTGATTCTCTTTTTAGTAATCGCACATGATATATAACAACAACCGAACGTCTCTCTTTTGTGATGTGTGTTCTAGTGTTTTCCATCTGTTGCTTCTCATGAGCTTGTGCGCTCGTGTTGTTGCCACTTTGTTAAGAAATTCCTCTGAAATTCGTCTGAAGACGTCTTGCATACACATGCAAGCAGGCTTCAATGAGACTCGCTGAGGCCCTTTCGAATAGTGATGTGTTCTCCAAGATGTGTCTGTTGGCTGCGACTCTCCCAACATATCAGCCTCAATATTGTCCCCTACCCACGAACAGCTTTGCATCTCCCACTTCCAACTAACCACCCCAGTACTGTCTCGATCCCAATCCTCATTTCTTGCCCTTCTTCTTCTTCTTTCCCCCTCCAGCAGCCTGGGGTTTCTCCACAGGCGTCGCCGCGCCGGCCGGCGTGTCCTCCCCACCCGCATCGGCCATCGGCTCGTCCTTGTTTGCGGCGGCGGCGTCCAATGTTGCCGGTTTCGAGGTGGACATTGTGCGGCCCAGGGCGCCGAGGCAGGTGATGAGGCGGGAGACCTCGGCGGCCTTTGTGGTGCGGTATTTGAGGGCGACGCCGCTGACCGGGTCGAAGGTCTTGATGACGAGGGAGCCGCGCGGGGGTTTGGCGTCTGTCATGGTTGCATCTTCTGCGGGTGCTGCGGCGGAGGCGTCCTCCGAGGTCTTGGTCTTTCGGGGTTTGACTGCTTTGATGGAGTACTTTGTTGTGATTCTAGTCTGTTTGGGGTGCTGGAGGTTAGCCGCCGCTACGTTTTCCCTCGTCCAAGGTTGGCAGATGAGTTGCTAGTATGCGGGTCAGGCTTACGGTAGTCGGACGAGCCTGGAGGAGCAGAGACGACTGCTCCAGCCATTCCTGGCTGGTCTTGTAGGTCGGCATTGCGATGTGACGGTAGTGATGGGGGCGGAGAGAGGAGAAAAGGCCACGGCCTTGCGCGGTGGTCCGCACTGTATGCGCGTACTTGGGAGGTGTCGTCGGTAACTGAGCGCCTGAGAAATGGCGATCCGAGTCTCTCGAGGAGGTAGGTTCGAGGAGTGTTCGCTAGGGTGTCGTGCGCGCCGTGGTGGTCGGAGTGACGTTGGGTGGTAGAGGTGGCCTGGCTTTGGTGGAGGACGCAATTTTGGTGGGGTTCGGCCATCCCAAGTTGAGGTACCCCGACCTTGCATGCCTGGCGAGGGGCAAGTTTAAGCCGCACACTTGGGACTGTCACCCCAAGCTCCAATACTTCACCATTCTAACATGCATATTTTCAAGACAAGATGATAACCAGTGATTTCCCAAGGTTTCAACAAAATTCATTCATGTCGACTTTCCTCAACGGGTTGGGGTATCTCGTATCCTAGACTCCGAAAGTAATTGACCCCTCCAGACCGCCATTTCGCAGCTTCTAAATTTCCTACATTGATGCTCCGACCGCTTCATGCATGAGGATCGGGCACCCAGAACATCACATCTTGATCTGCCGTCGCAAAGAAGTTGTACCGCGGGTTGAATGCTAACACCGCTGCCTCTCGCTTTTCCTCCAATACCCATGTAGCGTCGAGGGTCTTGTTCTCGTTCTGGGGCGGTGTCAAGATATCCCAGACCAGGACATCCTTTGGACCACCGCTCAGAACGTAACGACCGTCCACAGAGAAGCAGCAATCACCGCTGCTCTCGATTGTGGGCTGGTCCGCCTTCGGCATACTGCCGTTGATGGTGCTTGATGTCTCACCAGCCGCCAGCCGCCGGGTTCCGCCCTCGGGCTTACGCAGGTACGCCTTCAAGCTCCCGTCGAAAGCATCGAGTATGAAGTGGCCGGGGCCGCGAGTGCCGACGAGTATATGCTTGCCGTCGTTCGAAAATTCCAGCTTTGTCCAACCCCTGACTACGAACTGTGAGTCCACGTGTCTGCCGGCGTCGACGACATCGAAGGTCGCAAATGGCGCCTTGTCGTAGTTGCGGCAGTCATATAGCAGAACGCTTCCGCTGTTCGTACACGCGACAGCAAAAGTCTGCCCCGACGGATCGTATGCGGTGAGATACGGAGAGTTGAGGTTCAGTTGACCGCACCATTGCTTCGTCGAAATATTCCAAAGGCGCACAGTATTGTCTTGGCTACAAGAGATGAAGTTATCAGCGCCTGGGTGTATGGCAATATCTGTGACGCTCTTTTCGTGGCCCTCGAAGTATCGGATGAAGGAATTATCGTGGGTAGCCAAATATCGGATCTGATCTGGTAGACGTTAGCCATTGTGCGGCGGGTTGAGCATAAGAGCGCCTACCATTCTGCTTCGTACTCGCGTAGATGATGCTGGAGCTCGTATGCGTGAACTTTGCCAGCTTGACGCCGTACTTCTTGCTTAGCAAATTCTTCTTGTGTATGCCTTCCTTTACGCTGTAAATCTGAATCGTCTCGTCGCTCTCAGAGGTCATGAGAAGTTCGCCTGGGTCGTCGAAGTCGAGTGACAGCACGTGAGGTTGCGGACGGCCATCCTTGATGTCTTGCCTTTTGAAAAGCTGGAAACTAATCAGTCAGAGAGCTCCCTAGACGGTTTTTGGGCACTCCTTGCCTTTGTTGGGCGAAATGACGATATGACTTCGCTCAAAGGGGTAGTATTGTTGGTTGTCAGAGACCGCGTAATGTTGAGCGAATTTCCGTTAGATGGAGTCGACTCGCGATGGTCCAAGTCCATAGGCGTTGAAGCCATGATGGGTTCCTTGAGGATTCCGAGAGCTATACTGGCTGAGTCGAACAGCGACACCTCAAATGATGCTGTCGCGAGCCGTAAGTAAACGACCCGTCGCAAAAGGAAACTTGAGGCTGTGCGGCAAACTCGGCAGAACTCGGCAAGTTCCTTCAAAGTATGTGTGAATAAGTGCAGTCGTCCTGAGGTTGCTGGTATGAATCATGTGAACGGGATGTCAGACCGCGTCTTGTCATGCGATGCGACTGGAGGAAACCAAAGAGCTTCCCCAATTCATTTCGCGGGGTTGTGGTAATGGGAGAGCTGACTGTGCCACAGTTTTTAGACCACCCCTGGCGTGTTCGAGATCGGTTCTCAGCCACACCTTGTAATTGCCAGCCTCCCATCGTTGACAATGCACGACTTCGCATTGGAAACTGGCGTCCGGCAATGGGCCAGCTAAATTGACGCCCCCCTTTTTGGTCAAGGTCTGGGGTACCGAATACCGACTTAGGCCGCTGTGGCCCGCGAACCCTGCCAATTGGGACCTACAGACGCCGGGATCGGCAATGGCTATCCACGGCCATATTGACTTTGAGCAAGAAAAATCCCAATTTCTCTTCCGCGCGCGGAGCTTACTGAGAGACCTGTAGACCTGTAGCCCCGGTAAAAGGGTCAATCCAGTCACGTCGGCCCAGTGCCAGCCCGACGGAACTCAAGCCATATCGCAGTCATATCGCCAACTTCCTCTCTTGAGTTGCGCGCATTACGGCGAACGGGCTCTCGATCAGTAGGCTATGTAAGAATCTGCTCAGGAATTTGCATTTGTCGATGTTGACTGGCTATCGACTTGCCACGACGTCAATGTTGCTGACCCGCGCTGTTCCGTCATTTTAGGTACTAGCATTCCGAGATCGCGGTGTCACTCTTTTCTCTTTCTCTCTCTCTCTCCTTCCAAACGAACCCCGACTATCATAGGAGTCGCAACCACAAATTACCAGCATCTTACACATCGACGATATCCAATTATTTCTTATCGCTGCGACAAGACCGATTGACACAATGTCAACAACCCTTGGGCAAGTCATGGCCCGCAGTTCGGCATCCGCAAGACCAGCGAAGCTAACCTTCGCAACAGCGCCTTCATCGCCGGCGGCATTGCCGCCTGCGGCGCTGTAACGGCCACGCATCCTTTCGAGACTGTCAAGATCCGGTGCGTCTGATAGCGACGACGCTCGCTCCTTTCCCGCACCCTGCCGCCGGCAACGCGCTGACCCCTCCCCCCGACGTGTGCAGAATGCAGTTGCAAGGAGAATTGAAGGACAAGGGACACCAGCCGCATCAGTACAGAGGCCCTCTGCAGGGTGTCTCTGTTATCGTGCGTAATGAGGGCGTGAAAGGAATCTACCGCGGTATCGGCTGCGCGTACATCTACCAGGTCCTGCTGAACGGATGTCGTCTTGGATTCTACGAGCCAATGCGCGAAACCCTGTCGACTCTCATCTTCAAGGACGGCAAGACGCAGAGTCTGGGCATCAACATGGCTTGCGGTGCTGGATCAGGAATCATGGGTGCCGCCGCTGGCAGCCCTTTCTTCCTTGTCAAGACACGGTTACAAAGCTACTCTCCCTTCATGCCCACTGGCACACAACACAAGTACCGCAATGCTTGGAACGGTATGACCTCAATTTACGGCGCCGAAGGCATTCGGGGACTCTACCGTGGTGTCGGTGCGGCCATGATCAGGACGGGCTTCGGTAGCTCCGTGCAACTTCCCACCTACTTCTTCGCCAAGCGGAGACTGGTCCGCCACTTGGGTATGGAAGAGGGTCTGCCTCTGCATCTTGCTAGCAGTACCGTCAGTGGTTTCGTCGTTTGCTGTGTGATGCACCCTCCTGGTAAGTCTCAACTCAAGATTCCCCCAAGCATATTTCTGTACTAATCCTCATGGCAGACACCATCATGTCTCGCCTTTACAACCAAAACGGAAACCTCTACAAGGGTGTCTTCGACTGCCTGGCCAAGACTGTCCGCACTGAAGGCTTCTTGGCTATTTACAAGGGTTTCCTGCCTCACTTGGCTAGAATCCTGCCCCACACCATCCTTACCCTGACCCTGGCGGAACAGACAAACAAGCTGATGAGAAAGCTCGAAGACCGCATCCTGCCTTCGGCCACCATCCAGACCCCGTGATCAACCATTGATCTTGTACCTATTAAATCAGCGTTCCTTGCATATATGGAGTTAAAAATGAGCTGGGTAGACGGGGTGGGAATGTCGCGAGCCGATGATGGGCTTCTAGAGAACATATTGGGGGGTTGGCTAGGAATGTAGTGAGGCAGATTAGGGTCACGCCAGACAGGCTGGCCGGTGAAGGTGCTTTGAACGCGCATTCTCTGTTCGATCTATCCATATATAGACCGTTCGCATCCATAACATAGTTTCCCTGCGGTGCGCTTCCTGCTGTCGTCAATATCCTCTCCTATCTCACCCTTCCAGCGAGCATCTCCTTGTGCGTCCACATCCATGCCGCAGACCGCGCACGCATCGCCGTCGCTCTCTCGTGTCAATTTGCCACTGGTGCGAACGACGTTGGCGACGACGGAGGGATAACTCTCCTCCACTTCCTCAAAGTACCGCGCCATGACATCCTCGATGCTGAGCTCCTTGTGCGAGACGACAGCGTTGCTGCTTGGTCCCACTTCCTGGGCAAGATCCTTCAAAGACGGTATCAGGCCCGCATACGTGATGACCTCTCGCCTGAAAACGTCTCGAAGAAGGTAGTACACTGGAAGCATCGTCTTCTCCGTCCCTCGGACAGCCCCCTCGCCGCCCTCCGCGCTCTGCCCCTCCCCAACATGGGACAATGTCGTGACGGGAACGGGACCGTCGGCGACCTGCCACGGCACGGCGAACCCGCGGCCCTTGGCCGTCTCGGCGAGCGTCAGCTCGGCCAGGGCGGTCGTGGTGCATCCCAGCAGCAGCGCGTGGCACTCCCTCTCCACGGCCAGCGACAGCAGCAGATTCCGCACCAGGAGCCTCGTGATGTCCACCCGCGACGTGACGGACGGCAGGGCCTCGAGGAGGCCGCTGAGCTGCTGCGCGGGCGCGAGCCCGGGTTGCAGGGCGGGGAGGACGGACCAGTCTATCGTATCCAGCTTGAGGGCGTCGGCCAGCGGGACGATCTGCATCGAGAGGTTGGGGAACTGCTCC